ATATCTCATCCTCTTACATGTTATTATTGAATGTAGAGATGACACCAATACAAGGAGATAGTGTTGTAAATAATAATAAAAGAGGATAGAATGGAACTTATCAATCAACACTTTCCAAACCCAAAGAGCACTGTTGTTATAGATATAGAATTGAAAAGCTGAGAAAGATGTGTCAAAACGGGCTCAATGGCATAACTTGGTCACTCTTCTTAAAACCACATTTGCCCTTTATGGTGCAATTGGGCGAGTGCAAATCAATTGTCAAGATAAAATAGCCCACAGGTTACTGATATGCATGCACTCGCTTAACAAACCTTTGTTAACCACCAAACCACCAAAGAGAATGCCCAAGAAAATAAGACAGACTGAAAATTATAATTGTATTGTTATATATTACTGGGTTGACCACCATTCTATTTATAAAGTATTTTCAGTCACCCGAATGAACATAGTGTCTATTTGTTATTCTATGGGTCCCTATCATAGGGAGAGCAATCCTATTAATATACTCCAAACCAACTCACGAAGTAATACTGAAATCTCCATCATACTTTCATCATCTTTCATTGGGTAAATCTATTTGTATCCAATTCACGAAGTAATGCTGAAATCTCCATTATTGCTTGAGACCCACCAAGCTTTGCCTTCTTGATTCCCTTCGGTGAAAGTAGATATTTTAAAAATACAAAAAACACCCATACGACCAGAAGTATCGTTTCTATCCTTAATTCATCATTTTTTTTGGTTGGATGTTACCATACTACACAGATTACAGTGTTCCAGAGGAATTGGGACAACATGGCCATACCACGGAAAACCTACGGTCTCAGCTTCGTTTCTATCATTTCAATTAGGGTTTGTTTTGAATTGCGACAAAAACAATGCTCTGGTTTCCTATTTACTCATCAATCTCAAAAAAATAATTAAAGGGCGCAACTTGAATCAAAATAACCAGTAAACAAATGAAAATGCATCGAATGCAACCAAGTAACAAGAAAAGAGGAGCTTAAAGCCGTCCCTTTTGCAAATTACAACCATGTCCATGTTTTATTGCAATTATAGAGTTTGCGTGGTTGTGATGCACATACCACGGCTACCAGATGATTGATACATTTGATTAGACAAAAAAAATAATAATAATAATAATTAATTGATTATTTGAATTAGTGTTTTAATTATTAATGATATTATTAGAATTGACATGAATATTTTAAGTATTAATGACACTTTTGTTTTTTATGTTCTTGAGTTAAAGTTATACATGCATATTTCAGTTCCTCTGCCATACACACTTCACATAAACTACTAAACTGTGCCTTTTTTGTCTTTAGATCTTAATTTATAATAAATTGAATCTTAAATCTTATGTCATTGATATAATTATGCATTTTTTTATTAGATTCCCCCGGCATATTCATGCATCTTATCCTAATCTTTCTGTTCCATCAAATCAATACATACTCTGAACCTTGTCAATCATCCATTAATGCATTCCATTTTCTTCATCCATCAAGAGAGCAATCAAATTGAACAGTCCAATGAGATGATTTGATGATGCAACACAAACATATTTGTCCTTTGTAGCCGCGCCATGGTTGGGCATGTGGTCTAACTGGGCCGAATTTATGTCAACCTATTCTCACCCAAGTACGGTTACAATTGGTTCAGAACAAGAGACCCATACCAATCCTAACCCATTGACATTAAGTTGGGTTAGGTTGGGAAGGATAAATATCTGCATCTTGTATGCTTTATATGCTTGGATATCAAGTTAGTGCTCAGCAAGATTGACGCTATCATCATGACAAGAGAAAAGGAAACTGCAACTATCTGGAGGAATGGGGACTCAAAACTGGTAAATGAGTGTGTGAAACTGCATCAAGGTCATTCCTTAACTTGTTTACTACTTTACTGGCAGCCGAAAGGATATGGCAGACAAGATAATCAATTTGAAGATGAAGACTGGCATACACTTGGGGAGTGGTATTTGAATACTGTTTAACTGTTTATCGATCCAAAGTCCAAACAGTCCATGAGTCCATCTATGTAGACTAGAGAGATGCGGTTTTTTAACGGGCAAAACCTAGAATTGATGTCAACTTTCAGTTTAGAAAGAGTACAGATCAAATACATACAGAATATAAGGTTTTGTACTCTACATATTTGTATTTGTACTGTTTTCAAACTGAGCCCGTGGGATGGATGTATGCATTTTATGTTAAAAAACAGTTAAGGAAGAAGAAAGCTAGTGATTTTGAGAAATATGTCCCAGAAATTCACGGATTTTCTCCCAGAAATATGCTAAGGTATTTTACCGGGTACTTCTCCACCCTGTATCTTAAGTTGTTTCCAAAATCTTTCCATCTTTTGCTAAATCAAATCTTTTCATAGATTTCACTTCAAAAAGATGATTGAAAATGTATTCCTTCGCATCAGAATTCTGCACCTTTTTTCTTTTAATTAATACAGAATGAATGAAACAACTGAAATTTGCTAACGGATAATGGGAACCTTGTAATCTTTGTATTTTGGGTACTACTTAAACAGAAACATTTCGATTTCCAAAGAAAAATAGATCATAATTTTACCCAACTGCCTTCAATTGTAGCCCTTGTGGTGAGGATGGTTCAGGTCCACAACACTTTTGATGAAGGGAAATTTGGTCCAACCTCGTAACAGGGAGACATGTGGACGTGACTCGGCATAAGTGATAATTCAACATGATCAGATCGGCATGTGGACGTGACTCGACACAAGTGACAGATCAGTTTGTTACAAAGCAACCTCGGGTACCCTGATACCTCGAACTGAAGTCACTCCGGTATCAGATTGCAACTAGGATAACGATATCAAGTCCGCTACAGATCGAACCCAGACAGATGGACCACTTCAGAAAGAATCCACCTTGAGACAAGCCTACCTCGATCCAGGACTACCTCGCACTTTGGCATTCATATAAGGTCGGATCTAAGGAGCACGAGCTCAGGAAGCTCGCCACCAGGCAGCCTGGCACCTTACGGGTAGCTCGCCTCCTAGTCAGACCGACCATCGCATTGCAAGCCCGGAGATCTCGTCACCATACTCTGCATCTTATGGGGTTGTACCTTGTAACGACTATATTAGCTCACCCACTCCCGATTCAGGCAGAAATGGGTAACTTTACCGGTTGGTGGTGTTATCCCCACCTAACACGGAAACAGATCCCATCACAGTGAGGATCCAGGAACCACTCTATCAAACCCGTGCAGACTCCGATATATAAGGACCTCACCCCCCAGGGGCGAAGGTATGATGCGTAATCTTTGCTCTCTAGCACTCTAACTCTCTGATATCATCTTTAAGCTCTCTACTATTAAGTGCTAACTTAGCCATCGGAGTGTCCCCACTGGGTAAGCCACCCTGGGATCTCTGACTCCTTTCTTGTAGGAACCCCAGTTCTCGTCGTTGCTGACAGCCAAATCGTCTCCAACAGGAGCAGCCGGATTATGCCACATCAACTTTGGTTTCTCAATCTACTTGATTCATGATTAACATTAATAAGAATTTAAAAACAATATAACAGAAAAGTTTCCAACAGAAGAAAAACTAAAGAAAAAAGTAACATGATGGGCCAATACCCATAATCTTTGCATTAAGAAGATTCATGTAGCCGACCCCATATACTTGGGATAAGGCATGGATGATGATGTTGATTTCACCCCTGCAACAAGTTACTGATTATCGCAATTACAGATACAACTGCAAACAGCCCCTTAGAGAGAAAATTGCGGATCAGAAATCAAATACTGGAAAAGTTCCCTACACGTCCTGTTACAACACATGCATCAATAAGATAAAAGAGGATCTGTAGTGTAACAAAGGGTTTCAAAACTTTCCAGAAGGAAAAACAATAGTAAAGAAATCAATGGAACAGAAATGGGAGTTTGAACAATTCCTTACTGCAAAACTTGCAACAATCTCACCTCATTGAATATCAGCTTCCAGGACCTTGTTTTCATCATAAATGCAATCAAAACCATCTATCTATTAAGCTCAAAAAAACCACCAAAGATGACTGGAGATGTGACTGCATAAAGAATGAAAAATAATAAAAAACTAGGGCTCAATTTGGAAGGAGTACAAATACAAATATGTGGAGTGCAAAAGCAAAACCTTGTATTTTGTATGTATTTGTACTCCTTCCAAACTGAGCCTAGAAAACAAAAATTGGACTCAGTGACGGGGAACAAAAGAACAAAATGCTCTGACACCAAATTGATGTGGGATTGGGATGGGCAGCTTTCTCACAAACTTAAAGTCCACTTCCATATCATTCAGCATGTTTTTGTAACAATAAACACAGAAAGAGACACGTGTACAAGACACTCTAGGGGTTGCAAATCCTACATTCCTACTAGAACTAAGGAATGCTTTTTTTTTTTTTTCCTTTAATTTTTATCAGCAACAAAAATCAGAGGATTTTGTTAAGAACTAAGGAATCCTCTGTATGAAATTAACAGCAAGGAACAATGGAACCTTAGGAACAGAAACAAGGAGCACGAATGCCAGATTCAATTGCCATTACATTTGAAATAATGCATCCAACTACTGACAGATGCATAGAAGCTTGACCACCTTTAGTTTTGATTGTCATAACATAACCCAAGTTCTGGGGTTCCTCAAAGTACCACAGGCCTTCCAGCTCCATTGCTAACAAGTAAATCAGCTAGGGCATTAGCAGATCTGGAAACCCACCTGAATGTGATATTCAATTTCAGGTAGGAAGCTAATTCTCTAGTCTCCCTGAAAAGGAATCTTATAGGCCCGTGACCCACTGCTGCCATGTTCATCCAAACAGTTAGTTACCTCTCAGCCATTTCCCATATCACCATTCCTGTCCAACCCTATTAAGGAATGGTGTTATGCTTTTTCCAGAGAGACAAAATAGCAACATTAACGGTTATGTAGAACAAAGCGTTATCCTTTTTATTTTGTCAACAAAATCTAGCAAGACAGAATCTTACAAAATGAATAAAATTATATCAACAAGTACATATCTACACATGCTGGAAACATTGTGTAGGGTAAAGTGACCTCACACCCATTGCAGCTTGGGAAACCTTATATCTGGATTTCTTATTGACTTTAGCCACATATCTGCCATTATGCGAGATGAAATGCTCCATAATAAATCTAGTCCCTTTGGCTGAGAATGTTTGTTTTTCCTTCCCACCTTACCCAATCCATATGCCACCAACCATTGCATTGCAGTCAATCGCTGCTTCTCAGCATCCCATACATGCCGCTTCCCGCCTGCCTTCACCTTCAAACCTCCAACATGCAAACTTGCCACTTTGAACCTCTGCTCATCCTCATCTTTTGCACCTTTGGTATCTGCATGTGTGGCCTGAATCAATGCAACCATTGGACCACCTACTGACTCATATCTCCTAATTGGGTCTCTTAGCTGGACAACAACTGCTAGAGTAATTGTTGCAGGGATACCCTGGTCACCTTCTGAGATGATCAGGCCCCCATTTCTGAGCCAATCCTCAATCCGAATGGCAGAGGACAATGGGCGATTTGGATCTTCCCCAACAACTGCACCTGGCTTCCCAACAACTGGAGAAACATCAAAGGGAGCATCTTCAGCCATCTCTGCCTGAATCCTTAGAGCTTCAACTGTCATAGACTCAATCTTTTGCATTGAAAATGCCAGAATCTCATCCACAGTCACTGGTTCCTCATTCACATTCCAAATCCCTGTTGCAATTCTCTCTTTCCTACCTGTACTCATTGCAGTTGCCATAGATTTCACTGCAGCAATGGTACGAGCAGCACTTGAGCTAGCACCTTCTTTATTCCTCCCATGGATGATTGCTGAAGCTATTCCTTCAAAAGCTACCTGTTCTGCAGTTTTACCAATCAATTCATCCATTTGCATTGAAGATAAGATTTCAGAACTTAGTTCTTCAACACCAATGGCTGCCATCCTCTGAAAGACCTCAAACCCACTCAAGGATTTGTGCGAGGGAAGAATCAATGGTTTTGAGATCTGCATTGCAAGTTTTGGGGTTTCTTTTCTTGACACCTCAATGTCTAGAGGGTTCACGGCAGCTAAGTAACCACCGTCTCTTGTTTGAACGACAGAACCCAGGCCCTTTCCAAGATCAGGCAAGAAAACCTTGGATTCAGCCTCACTATCTTCTTCAGCTCCCCCTAACTTGAAAGGTGGAATATCGGCTTGATCAAGTTGAAACTCCTTAGCCTCTTCGTCCTCAAGCATCTGAAGAAATTCCCGTGTCACTGTTTCTTCTTCTGCATCTAATCTTTGTGATTCAGTTTCATCCTCTGCTTTAACATTATCATCTCCCATCATAGATTCAAGAGCTTTGATTTGCTGGGCAATGGAATCAAGTTCTGTTAATCTTGTTAGATGGACTTGATCTTGCACGACTTCCTTAACAACTTCACTCGAAACTGACCTCTCGTCTAGAGCTTCTTCAGATTTTACTTCTGCTGCACCATTCTTGTCTTGAATCTCAACTCCTTTATCCACGACTTCAAATTCTGGAAGATCAAGGTCTTCGACCTTAGGCTCCAAAACTTCAGACTTCTGAACAGATGGAGGAGTTGAAGGAACCGGAGCTGGCTCATCAAGATTTAAGTCCTCAATTCCCTGAAAATCTACTGATGTCCCAGCCTTGGAAGGAGTCAAGGCTTCCATTCTGCTCGACATCCTTGGACTGGGAATACTGAAAGAAGATTTTGATTGCTTGCGAGCAAATGAAGATGAGGAGTCTCTACTTTGACCCAGCAGCCCCACAGCCTGACTATAAATCCCCATTCCACCGTCCTTCTCCATAATTTGAAAGCCTAACTTCAGAACTAGTTCTCCTCCTTTTGCCTTTCCGGACAGATCGAAACTCATATCCCATTGCCGAACTCGTGTCCCCTGAAGACTCTTCTCCATAGATTCCTGGACCAGAAGACTCACATCCACAGAACTCCTTCCAAAATCAAGCTCCTCTGCATCAACTGCGATCACGTAAATCAGGAAAGGACGAGGTTCGAACCTTAGCTGTTTTCCACTGCCACTGGTGCAATAGATATGACACTTGACAAACATAGTCTCTTCGAAGTCCGCCGCTCCCTGCAAAACTCTAGATGGCATCGTCTGCACCGCTCCGTCTTTAGTCTCCTTCTTCCTGACGCAAACAGAAAGCCGAAGACCATTCATGGATGCCGGTAAACCTTGGACAGTTACAACTTCAACCGATAACAAACAGCTCAGCTTCTGCATACCGATGTGGGCAAGAGCTCGAATAGGCTTCCAATTCCAAATCCCTTTCTTCTCGGCAGAAACTGCCTTGTCGTCCATCTTCTTGGCAGGCTGCAAAACTCTAGCCCTGTCTCCGTGGTCATTCTTCTCGTTGTCGTCGAGCTTCGGCCGAGAACGCCATGGTGACAGGGACATGCGCCTGGAGCGGGGTCTGGTGTCGAGCTTCTCCTCATGTTTAGCAACGTCGGCAGATGAAATAGGAGGAACTGAAGTCCGGGGAAGGGCGAGGGAAGCGGTTCTTCGAGTGGTGGAGATATGGGATTGATAGAGGGATTGGCTTAATGCCTCGAGTTCTTCAAGGAGTTGGGTATTGGAATTCCTCCTCCCACCGGAGAACTCCGCGGCCATTGAAGATGAAGATAAAGCGGAAAAGATAAAAAAAGATAATGTCTTTTGTGGAGTTGAAGGTTCTGGTTGCAGCAGGGAAGAGATATGAGAGTGAAGAAGAAGACGATAAGGGTTTATAGGGAAGGGCAATTTTGAGGTGGAGAAACTGCGAATGAGGATAGTTGGTGCTTCCAGGACCATGAAAACTGGATGGGAGGAACGAATGGAAGACATGTGAGGAACGTTTGCCATTTTCCCATCTCTTATCCCTCTGGCTATCCCGAAAGAGACAAAACAAGACAGGAGAAGAAATTGAGAACACGAGAAGGTTATCAGGCAAACCCAGGCAAGCATGCATCAGTTGACATCCATAACTGGAAGTAAAAAATTGATGGGGCCGCCTCTCGCTATCCAGGCAATGAATGCTGCTTTTGAGTTTTGAAATAAGACAGAATGAAGAAAAAAGAAAAAAAAAACCAAGCTGGTCGGAGAGTCGGAAACGAAAGCTACGAAGTTCAGAGTTCAGACTTGAGACCAAAGCCAAAAACACGACTTTCATTTTTCCGGTAAATGACATTCATTGATTTAATTCAGCAAAATCACTGCGTAACTTTTCTTGAGAAGAAACCATAATCTCTGCTGTGATGAAGTTAATGAATCCTCCCTTCTATACTCGTGGCCGTGGGTACGGTTCAAAGTGATGCGCCGATGATTGAGATGAGTGTGGATGTGATCGGCTGATCGCTCAAGAATTCAAATGCAGAAAGTTTATTTATTTTTGGTAAAACAAAATCAGCAAGTTTCTGAGGTGCTTGTAGACAGGAATAGTGCCATTTATCAATCTTCCAAAATTGAAAAAAAAAAATGAATCATCCTAAATCTTTGTCTCTTTTATTAAAAAATTTGAGACTATTCATTTTTCATCAATGTTTAAGAAAGAAAATTAGATGAGACAAAAACGACATATATATCTTTTTAAATGCCACTTATTAGTTGATTAATAAATTGGCACGTTTTAAAAGTTCAAATACTAAATTATCACATTTTAAAATTTGAAGACCAAAGTGATACTGGGCCTAAATTGATAATTTAAAGTTTGAAGACCAAAGTGATACTAGGCCCAAATTACAGGATAATAATTGAGAATTTTCCCATGTATTAAGAATTTTAGTGAACAGGCATTTTGCAAGGATGATGACGTTAAAAGAATGTTTTTTAGGACAAATAAAAAAGACTTAATTATTACAATCATAAAAACTTCCCCTGATATTTCATTTTCACAAAACCTCCCATATAATATTGAAAAAAAATGCAATTACCACCTTATTGACTTATTGTTGTGGACGTAAAACATTGGCTAGATTGAAAAGAGTAAAAGTAAATTTACTCTATAAAAAACGGTAGGTCTAGTAAAATTTAGAAGGACAAATATGACATTTTAATTATATTGAAAGATTCCCAAGGATAATTTCGTAACTTTGAATTCAATATTAGTAAGACAAAGATTGAAGAGAGGTAACTGCGTGCTTTTGTTAAAGTGAAACCTCAAAGGAGTTTATTATGATCCTAGCTTGAAGATATATAGGGGTGTAAATTATATTGGATTTGGTCCAATGCCATCCGGTCCAACATGAATCCATTTACAAATGGATTGGACCCAATCCAGTCTAAATCCAAACTGATCCAATTGAAACACAAATGGATTGGGTGGGGTCCAATCCAGTCCATATTGAATGAAACATAAAATAAAAACCTATAAAAAATAGAAAATACAAAAAAAAACTGCAGAAATATATTAGATATTCTTAGAAAACCATAACATACAACGCAAACACTAAAAATAGAAAAATAAAAATAAAAACCATAAAAACTACGACAATTAGGGTGTTACTGGACCGGTTTTGGGTTGAAGCCCATCCAAATCAAAATCATTTTGGATGGATTGAACAAACCAATACAATATTATTAATTCATTAATTTTGGTAATTTTGCTTATTTTTTGAATTATTAATTTATAAAAGTGAAGTAATTTTGGTAATTTTTGTACTTTAAATTTGTTAATTTTGGTGATTAGTTCTGTTGTATGGAAATACAAATTTATTATTCATTTTTTGTATTAATTGTGGTAATTTTGTATATTAATTTTCCTAAAAGTTTTAATTTTTGGTAAATAAATTTTGGTAATGTTGGTTATTTTTAGGAATATAATTATTGTAATTTTGGTAATTAAGGTAAACTAGTTTTGGATTTTTTTTTAAATTTTGGTATATTCCAAAAAATATATTTCACTAAATTAATTTTGATTTAGTTTGGTAAATTAAAAATTAGCTTTTTCTAATTTATGAATGAATAATTTTGGTAGCTTTATTAAATTATTAGTTTATTAATTTTGGTAATTTTGTTAGTTTGGTGAATTGTTAATTTCCGAAAGTGAAGTAATTTTGGTAATTTTTGCAGATTAATTTTGTTATATGGGAGATTAAATTTGTGATTCATTTTGTAATTTCCTATTTTTTTATTTTTGGTAAATAAATTTTGGTAATGTTGGTAATTTTTCATAATTTAACTATTGTAATTTTGTTTGTTTGAAAAATTAAGGTAATCAATTTTCATAGTTTTGGTAATTTAGGTGAGTCTAAGGAATACAATAGGAGGAAATTGGTTGCTCTCATTACAACTTATTTCCGATTCAATCAGCTAGACAAAATCATGGTTCTCAATACCAATATATTGATGAGAGGTTATTTGGTCCTCCATTGATATTATGACGTGTGGCATTGCAGAAGAGTAGAGTGACATCTTGACACCACGTAAGCAGACCCTAAGAGTACTTTAGACACTTCACAATCACCTTGATGACCTTGGCACTACTCTGGTAGGCCGAACTGTGAACAACCAAGCAAGACCTCGGGTCAACATAAGTGGCGACCTACTTCCGCTGATCTGACCCAGTTCCGATTAGCGACCTGCCTGACGTATTGAGCAACCTCCCCCTTAAGTGGGCTATCGCCTCCGGATTCCTTGGGATCACGATGCCATATCGAAAGAACCAGTTATCACCCCGCTTGCTTCGAGTAGGATTGAACAAACGTTACCCACTTACGTAGAGTCCACCTCCAGGCGTGAAACCACCTCCGAACTAGATATGCCAGAAATCCTAAATGCGTTTCGTGAGGCTCAAGGCAGCTTGCCTATACAAGGGCCTTACCTCCAACCTCATAAGGTACGCGCGATTTAGCTCTTACAATTCTTTAGCTCTCTTGCTTTCTTGCAAACATCTACCGGCTCGCTAACTTAAGCATCGGAATGCCCACCCCTAGTCAAGCTACCCGAACACTTAGATAATCACTTTCTTGTAGCTCAACCAAGCAACCTATTCAATCCGATGTCCAAGTTATTTGCCAACAAGGATCAGATCGTGCATCATCATATATATTTTTTTGAAAAGGTGATAAGAGAATAACCAAATCATCCATTTTGCATTTAAAACCATTAAATTATCAAATTATTTAAATAAAGTATATCAATGAATTAAAGATATGATATGACATGCCCATTTGGAATGTCGTATGGTTCCCTTTAATTTTTCTTTACAAATGCAGAGGGCCCCACTAGTATATGCCAGATCTTTGGGCATGTTGCATTTGGACAAGAAATAGGTTTTGTTTCTTGCTCAACTCCGGATAAAAATAAACTTGAAGGTTCAACCAAACATCATTCTAGAAATTTATTTTCATAAGTCAATTAGAAATGAGCGTTGGACAATAAAAGGGTAAACTTCTAGAATCTCCTCTAAAGTTTTTGATCATTACTGAAACTTCCCCTAAAGTTTGATAATTGCATTCATTTCCCCTAAATTTTTTGACAGATTAATACAGTTGCAAGTAGACCCCCTTTATTAGAATGTGCTAACAAGTAACAACAGGCACGAAAAAATGTCCAAAAGAGAATATAAAATTGCAACTTTACCTCTGAATGATTGATATGGAGGGCAAATTTGAAAAATAAATCATTTTTAGAAGAGAGATAATAAGGGGTTTTTTTTGGTAGTAAAAGATGCATAAAATAAAAGGAGCACAAGAGATATAGACTGGAATTACACAGTTCCAACAGTGTCCCTTCGAGCTAGTTCCTTGAGCCATTGAGGGGCAGCTTCCAACAAAAACCAGATTTTACAAGGCCCTTTCTACCAGACTTAAGAGCTTGAACAAGTCATGACACAACACTTCCAATCAATAGAATTTGTATATATCTCTCGTAGCATACAAAGCTTTGAATTGATAATAGAACCGGCAAAAAAACTTGTTTTCATGGAGAAACAGAAAGACACCATGTTCTAGATTATTCTGATATACAAGCTTTGAATTGATAATAGAACCCGAAAAAAAAAAAAGTTTGCACAATCACTTTCCAATATAGCGTTAGACCAATTCAAACACCTTAAGAGCTCTAGACCCTAATCAAGGCCATTGCCTCCGCTTGGATTGGAGAAGAGACTGAAGCTTGACCAAAAGATGCTACCAATGCCAAGCCCTGTGAGTCCCTAATGATTGCTCCAAATCCAGCCTTACCCGTCTCCAAAAAAAAAAAAAATTGGAGCTGTCCAAAAAACTTGATGAAAGCTGCCAGCCTAGAGGGGAAGTCAGATTCCTCTCCTTCATCTTGCTGTGAACACATGAAAGTGCCAAACCAGGGTCAGGATCTATATTTTCAAATATAAATCTGTTCCTGTTTTTCCATTTGATCTAAAGTCAATAGCAAGAAAACCCAAGAACCTCTTCTTTTCCATGCCCCAAGCTATGACAAAAGTCGTACCAAAATCACGCAACAAAGTTATCAATTTCACCAAAATTTTCTGTTTTGACATTTAAAAAGCTACTGAACCAGGTGGCTCTTGCATGGTTGCAGAAAAAAAAAAGTACATGCAGGATTATGCCACAAAGTTAGGGCTAGTGATTCATGTGAAGAGAAATTTTGAAAAACGAATATATTGGTGAAAAGTACCTGTATGGGTATTTTAGACATTTCCATGTCTTTTTTTTTAAAGGATTTTAACAAAAGAAGATTTGCTTAAGGAAGGTGATTACAAATTTCAAATTTTAAGAGAGGTTTCAGCAACAATCAAAAACTTTAGAGGAAGTTTTAGAAATTTACCCTAGAATAAATAGGGCCTAAATTGTAAATTTGCCAGTAGTTAGGTGCAATTTATAAAGCCGTAAGTTATGAGTAAGAGTGAAGCAAGTTATTGGATTGGGGGGGCCTTGGTTCTCCAAACATTTTGAGAAAAAATGTTACTAGGTGGGGGCAGTGTCAGCCTCGATAAAATTCGACTTGTTGAAACCCCGATTCTAATTTTAACCTAATTCATTATTTTTTAGGCCAATTCACTGCCTCAATCTTAATCCAATCGGAATTTAAATAGGATTCATGTTTTTTAACATTAACATTAAGAGAAATTTTCAAACCAAACTTCCTGCAGGTGCACTATAGAAAAGTTTTCCTAGTCTCCGTTCGCCCTCATCTCTTGGTCTCATGAGATAAAAATTCCTTGTTATTGCCCATAAGAATTTTATTGAAATTCACTAAAAAGTGTATTCCTTTTTGTGTCACTAATTTAGTGGAACATGTAAGATGAGAGAGCCAAAAGTATGTTTGTAGAGGAGAGAAAAAAAAAAGATTGACTAAAATGTTGGAACCTAGAACCTTCTCTCCTAAATTCTGATTTTAGAATCCGAAAAATTGATGATTCAGTCCCGGTTTTAGAAAATCAGATGATAAATGTATATGTGAACTTGGAGGCCATAACTTGTGTTTTAATGTCTGATTGGGGTGATATTTTTGAGAAATTTTATTAAAGTATTCATAAGTTTTAGGAAATTAACTAACTCTACCCTTACTGTTTACTTATTGTCTTAGAGTATTCCTAAGTTTTCTAATAATTGACTAAATCATCCTCTGCTGTTAGTGTCTGTTAATGTTCGATCACAATCCGTTAACATGTGATACTACGTGACGTTTATAATTTTTTAAAACCTAATATTATCCTTTTTAGTCAAATTTTCCCTCTTTTATTTTTCAAATTTTCTTCTTCATGGTTACTGCCGTTCTTCTTCCCTTTCTGACCTTGAGCTCGGCGAGGCACCTAGACAAATAATCTTCAATAGCTTAAGAAACTTCCTTGGTTCACCATTTCTCTCCTTTCTTCTGAAGCTTTCAATGGCCATGGCTTCCCCAGTCTTCGCTTCTATAATTCACACCAAAACTATTACAAAATTGACGCTCTTTCTTCCCACCGCATCTTCTCCAGTCTCCAGTCTTTGAGGTAGGCGGTTTCCTTTCCCGTTTCTCATCTAACCTTACAATTATGATCGAGATTCCTTCTAAACGGAAATGGAGGGTGTTCAGTGCTCCAGGGCTCCAGTACTCGACCGATAATCATGGTAATCATCGATGATGTGATTGATGCTCTCGGAGTCTTGGCTTAAGAGCTCTTGTTTAGGTCTTGTTCTCCACCAATATCTACGAGGTTCTGGTCTGCGCACCTGATCCGGAAAAGTCTACTCTTAGTCACAGCATCATTACATGGTGTTATTATGCTCTTTCTGTGAACAGAGTTGAAACAGCTTATGCAGTTTCTAGAACACCAGGAGATTGTGCTTATTTGGGTATTTCCAAAGCATTATTTCCTACAATTCTTGATCTGGAACCCCAGGAGATTGATGCATTCGGGTTGGGCTTGGGCCTGGGTCAGGTTGGTCAATAAAACCGCATGTATATATATGTATGGACACATATTTATGTATATATGTAAATATGTATGTAAAATTTGTATATATATGTATGTGTGAATATGTATAGTTGGGCCGAGTTTGGATCACCTAAGGGCTAGGCCCGGGCCCAACCCAAAAAATTAAAAAGCTGGACTTCTTGGGATCAACCTGGCCCGAGGACTGAAAATCCAAGCCCAACCCATTTAAAGTTTTGAGATGAATTGGTTTAGGCTCTGGCTGGGCCCGCCCAAGTTGCACCCCTATGACTGGGTTAGAGGGAAGAGTAGTATCCAATACTTCAAACCAAGTGCGGAGGCATCCTTGTCCATCATTAATGGAATACTGATTGTGTTGAAGAACAAAACTTATCCTGACAACTTCTTTTTGAATATGGATTTGCCAACAGATGTTAAAAACCATAAGGGTTATAAAGCAACAAAACAGGGTACAAGCATTATCAAAATGGGGTGGACGTAAGTTGCTTCTAACATGGAGGGAGGAAAAATCTTGTCAACAAATTGACTCGTTAACAGGGCCGAAAATAGAAGTATCCTCAACTATATCAGCAGGAAACCTTTTGTTGAAGAGAGAAGTAAAGGGACCACAATATGATGATGGAGATACAGTCATACGGATCATCGAGCTCTTAAGGAAGGATATGTTTCTGTCAGTCACGCCTCTCAGTGCCCTCTCTCGTACAGAAGAGACAGATTGCCGATCCTACTTCAAAGATTGGCTGTCATGTCTGATGGAATTTTCATCTTCATCTTATTCATAGTGTGATGAATAGTATGCTTCAAGTGCCAAGGCCGATAGCCTAGAGAATTTATTACCTGAAATAGCCTCAGCTAGGAACGGAGATGGAGTTAGGGCAGTTCCTTCTAAGGCATTTCACACCGTAGTTATCACTTGTAAGTTTTAAATATGTATCACCCTTGTCGGTTTTCATTCTGGTTTGTTATTCTATTGCCTTGTAATTTCCAAGGTCAAACGTTGCAGCATTTATTTTCTATTAAAAATATTGAAGAGAAGGGGAAACGATGATCACGGTGAGTGCTGTGGTAGAGCTGTTGCGGCTGATGAGGGTGACCGACACCGGACGCGAAGGAGGTGATGGCCGAGTACCATCAATTTGGTTTTGGATGCTTTCAAGGTCTAATCCAAACTATTGAATTGGTTTGGTTCCCACTTACACTTACAATAAGGCGTTCAATGTTTTATAATGTTTAAAAGTTTAAAGAAGAATGATGAACAATATATAATCTTTTTAATCCTTTCGTAAAGACAATGGGTAAAACAGTAGGGTAAAGTAAATTAATTTCCTAATACTTTAAGAAATTTGTCTTCTTTGACAACTTTTTGAGATGTATGTATTTTTATTTCCAATAAAAACTTATAAAAATATGATGCCTTGGGACTTGGGAGCACATAAATTCTGTCTAGAAAAAAAGGATGATATAGATTCTATTTAGCCTCGAACCAATTTTTTAGCCTCAACTCTTCTTTTCCGAATCGATGTCCGGTCCAATTCAAAACAGAATCTATATCATCCCAAAGTTTAATATTTTTTCCTTGTGGTAAGCTCTTCCTATTAATCCCCACTTCAGATCTGTATCCAGAATATTCTAGAAGAATGAATGGTATGAGATGGGGGTTAATTTACATACTTCACGTTGCTATTTTTCTTTATTAGCATTTATTTTTAGAGTGTGAATGTAAGAGTTGTGGTCAGGAAGCAGCAAATGAATGCAATAGGTGGACGCTTGTTTGACACGTAATGCGAGTGCGACCAATTTAATTTTCTAGGCTAACTTTACATAAAGTCAAAAAGTGGGAAGATGCCAATCGAGGGTAAATTTGGTATTTAACGTTGAAAAGCCGAAGGGTTGTCATTGGCTGGGAAGCCTGGGATGGGAAAACTTTCCAGTTCCAACCTCCCACAAAGTGGGGATCCGTAGCGAAATCTCTGTGAGTGTTTGGAGTTTACGAAGAAACCCCTCACCTCACCTCTCATCACCTCTCATCCTCATCTTTGCATGGTTCTCAGTTCCCACCAACAAAGAGGACAAACCCGTAATTAAATAATTCGCCGATTGACCAATCCCAGAGCCATGGAGATATGGGCTATGGGCTATGGCCTATGGGAGGAGTTGTTCGACTGTTCCTGTTATTACGGAAAAAACCCTCATCCTGCTCACGTTGCAATACATTTTCGTCGTTGCGTCATACGTGAACCGTTCGTTCACGTTGGTTGGGGGCCTTAGGGCTCATCCGGTTTTGAAAACCATGCGTGAACGTGATTAGGGGGGCTCTTTCCGGTGACTTCAGATGTGCTTGCTCCAGTAAGCTGGCTACAAATACGAGAGATGTTCCTCATGAGCGGCTCTAGGGTTTTGTAGGGACTCCTTCCCAGTGGGGATGTGCCCATTTCTGAACAATGGTCATGTGCCCAAACAAGCACCCGGATCCGTATTACTGGGCTTTCGTTTCGTTTTGGACCTTTGGCGTCTGATTTCCAGTCTTTCTCTGTTTCTGGCCTTGTGTTTGAATGCTGCAAACGTGGACGGATTTACAGCCAGTTACAGAAAGAAGCTCGGAGCGCGACAGCAAATCGAACCTATTCAAACTCGAAAGTTGATACAGCAACAAAATACGATACTTCTTTGATCCTACTTTCACTGTCTCACACACTACTTTGGAGCTTCCAGATCTCTCTCTCTCTCTCTCTCTCGCTTTGAGAAGTGGGTGTTCAAACTTCAAGCAGAGGGGTTAAAGAAGAAAAACAAAAGAAGCAAAACATGAGAAATGGAAGAGTCTTTGAGGAGTTCTCACCCGGGTATTACGGGGTATGCGCCATCGGAGGAATGCTCAGTGCTGGGGCTACCCACCTCGCCGTTACTCCTCTGGATGTCTTAAAAGTGAATATGCAGGTAAGTGGGGTCTTTGGGCGTCGAACATTGATTGATAGTGAATTTCCTTGATTGTAGTCTGTAGCTGATATCGGAGATTCCTCCCCATCCATCCCCTAGTAGTGTACTTCTTCGTTTCTCTGTTCCTCTGCTTTACTGAACCTATTTATTAAGAACAATTTTAATGTGAAAATATATTATTCAATTAGAAAGCTTCAGAGAGGTGATTGCAATAAGTTTCCTTTCTCTGGAAATTAACGAGTGATTCTTCTTTCATGGATTGTTAACGAATTATTTCATTATCTAGGTGAACCCAATCAAGTACAATAGCATATTTTCCGGTTTAAATATCCTCTTGAAGGAACAAGGCCCGTCTGCTCTTTGGAGAGGTTGGGCCGGCAAATTCCTTGGCTATGGCTTTCAAGGTGGCTGCAAATTTGGTCTATATGAATACTTCAAGAATCTCTACTCCGATCTGTTGGTAGGTCAGAATAGGAGCCTCATCTTCTTTATGAGCAGCGCATCTGCTCAAGCATTTGCCGATGTGGCTCTCTGCCCTTTCGAAGCCGTCAAAATCCGTGTCCAAACACAGCCCAATTTTGCAAAGGGCTTGGCGGATGGATTTCCAAAGCTATATTTAACTGAAGGCCTCTCTGGGTATAACATCCATGAACATGACGCACTTTACCATTCCTTCTTTATAAATTTTGTGTAATGCATGCCTATAGTGTTTAAGAGTATCAGTTTCTTTTTCCATCTTTGGTTGCAGCTTCTACAAGGGGCTTGCTCCTCTTTGGGGTCGGAATCTTCCATGTAATTACTCTATTCCCTAATTCTACTTTTTTGTTCTGTTGTCTTAGTTTGTGAGGTGCTTTGCTAGATTACAAACAAAACTAGGAGTCTTTGGATTCCCTGAATGGTTTGTACCTTCAGGTTTCTACTTATTAAGTTCATTAGTGGACTCTAGCAGTATAACATATACTGGAAAATGGAGATTGCATTGGCTAGACGGCTAAGAGCTTACACTACTATTTGCACTCTTTTTGAAACAGGTCTAAGGAATGGTTTACAAATTCAATTTAACATTCCATCACTAGAACCTCAACACCGTCGGTTTTTCCCTCTACGAAAATATTTTACATGAACTGAGTTTATTTGATCTATTTAGTCTCAAACTGGAATGCTTTATGCAGCTTCTGAGAGGAGATTAAGTATAAAGAGAGGCTATTTCCAGGGTTCAAATCTTGCAAACAGCCTCTCTGTATGTGCAGGGGTAAGGTTGCTACATCTGTCCCTCCCCAGACCCCGCATTGGCGGGAGCCTCATGCACTAGGCTGCCCTTTTAAAGATCAGAAGCAAAAGAACATACAACAAGATGCTGTACTCAGGCACTAAACTGCTTTATGCAGTTTGGTGCATGGACAACTTATTACTTGTTAAAGATCTTCTACCAAGTATAGCATGTGTGACAATGCACTCTAGCATGTATGACAGATGAATTAATATGTTGACTTTATCCTCCTGATTCATATTCACACCATCTAGGTCAGGTCAAAATATCTGTTTTAAGCTACTACCTACAAGTTTGATCGACATTTTCAGTTCCACAAAATTTATAATTGTATTATGGATTAATTTATATTGCATGCTTACACATGAAAATTTGTGTTCTACAGTCTCTATGGTAATGTTTTCAACATTTGAGCATTCTGTGGATCTATTATATAGTCATGTCATTCAAAGAAGAAAGGAGGACTGCTCAAAAGCTCAGCAACTAGGGGTGACATGTTTAGCTGGTTATACAGCTGGTGCTGTTGGTACCTTTATTTCTAATCCTGCTGACAATGTTGTGTCCTCTCTTTATAACAGAAAGGCTGATAGTGTGATGCAGGTAAAGATAAACTGATTAATTTGTTTTAGGTTGATGTCAACTTGTGCAGACTAAAGCTTTAGTTGGGCTAAGCTTAATGCTGTGTGTAGGCTGTGAAGAATATTGGGTTTGTCAATTTGTTTACTAGAAGCCTGCCTATTCGAATTACACTTGCGGGGCCTGTTGTAACTTTGCAATGGTTGTTCTACGACACCATTAAATTGTTGACTGGACTGTAAGTCTTCTATTTTATTTTAATAACTGAGATTCCTTTACAGAAGCATGTCATGTCTTTGAGAACAATTTTGATTTGCTAGGGAATCTTTAGTCCTATTTATGTTAGCAGCATGGGAATGCACTAATAAAAAAACTAAGGGTCAGTTTGGTTTCAAGAGAATAGGACCCTGGAATCGGAATCGGAATGGAATGGGTCATTATGCCATCCCCCCCCCNCCCCCCAATGGCCATTCCCGACCTCCGGAATGTGATTCCTACTCCGCTATTTAGTTTCCTTTTTTTTATTTTTGGACAAAAAAAAACCCTCCAATTATGAAAAAGGAAGAATCCCTTCAACCTCCATACTATTCCTTGTCGTTGCCGCCTCCTCCTCCTCCTTCCTCCAAATCATCTACCGTGGTCTCCCTTCCCATTCCAAACAGAGAAGCTGTGTACGATGAGTGTGCTTTATGTATCAATGTGTGTACGAAGAAAAACTCACTCTTCTAAGAGGCTACTCTATTCTCTTCTAACAAGGCTACTCTAGTCTTCTGGGATTTTCGTTCATACGTGATAGCGTCTCTTCATTACTTCAGTATCCACCTGCCTTTTCTTCTTTTTTAGTGAGATTGCCCCACCCAAATCCCTATGTCTGGTCTTATACATGCATCCCGAGCTTCCCCACAAAGTGGGCCTCTGTTCTACTCGTTTCACCCACTTTTAAAAGATTAGAAAATACAGAGATAATAATAAAGTGGGCCTCTGTTCTGCTCGTTTCACCCACTTTTAGAAGATTAGAAAAAACAGAGATAATAGAAATTGTTGTAATTTTACAAAATTTTTACATTTTTTTTGTATTTTTTACAAAATTTGAGTATTTTCATGTAATTTTTTGAATTTTTTTATAAAATTATTATAATTTCTGTATTTTCTTGCAAAATTTCTGCTATTTCTGCATTTTTTGATATTTTCATGCATTTTCTGTTTTTGTTTTTATTTTTATTAGGGGCAAAATTGGAAATCATGATTGATTCCGATTTCAGCCTCTTCATGAACCAAGCAGCACCAATCGGAATCTGATTCCGATTCCTGTCTGAACCAAACAGTTAGGGGGAATAGATCATTCCGATTCCGATTCCGATTCCAACCATGAACCAAACGGACCCTAATAATCTATTCTATTAGGTGGTTCAAGGTTTCATCATCTCACCTATCAAAAAAAGTTCTTTATAATTGGCTCTTGTAGTTGATAGGATGCTGATTTAAGAGAAATTTCACTATTATGGGGCCACAGACTATTCCTTATATTGATTAAATGCCAGGGTTACATAAAATTTTGGTACTTCCTTGTTTTTTTTTGCTTTGCTTGTGTTTCGTCTACTAAAGTAAAGTTGTTTGTGCTTTGAAATCTTTCAGGCCAACAAGTGGAAGTGCTAACAACCATTCACAAGAAGCAAACAGATAGCTTAAACAGAAGTCTACACTTCTCTATATAGATCAATTGTGGTGCTTGTATCTACTGGAGGAAATTTAAGATTCAAGCGGGGAACTGCTGGCTGTAGAAATTTAAGCTTAAACAGAAGTCTACACTTTTCCTAAATGCCTACATTAATAGCTGACAAAAATATCTGGTGCTAGTTTTTTTTGCTATCTGATATTCTGTTTTTCTGGTTACTACCAAGGGCTAAGCCAAATTTTGCTCATATTTATGGGTTTGATGATTATCTGAATCTTCCAATCAAGGGTGATTTCTTTTAATTGCCTTGTATGTTGAATTATATATATTGTAAAAAGACAAAAGTATTCATCGACAGCGAGATTTCTGGTACTGAAGTATACTGTACACTGTACATACCTAATTGCATAATATTCAGAAGAAAATTATGTGTGAAGCTGATTTTTCTGTAGTTACTGAGAAAGTTTGTATAGTTCTATTAGCTATCTGCTACTACCCCATATTATTAATTATTTGTTGTGCCTTGTCATCAGAAATTTGATAAATGCAAGGTGAGCACGAGCACGACCAATTGATCTGAAATTTTGATAAACAGAAGAGAGTTTCATGTTTCATCAATTCAAACAATCCATGGCCGATGTGGCAAGAAATTTAAAAGCCACCCTTTTTCATTGGTGATAATAGACTAAAATGGTGGTGGTGGCATGCTAGGTGTTTGGCATTGGTGCTGGGCATGTGTGAGTTGTAAGCATCGTTCTCTCACATAGGCTGTTTTCTGGGAAGTAGTGCTTATTTTTGTTTGGTACCAGTGTTCTAGAACTATTTTCAGCATTAGTTATATTATCCAATATCCAAGATGATGCTACATCATTACACTGTTGACAATAACAAGTTGTTTTCTAAGAAAACATTAAATTTAACATTGTTTCAAACCACACCTCCCCAATTTCTAAAGCATGGTTTGAATTAACATTTTTTTCTAAAAAAACGATGTCAAATAAGATATTATTTTCTGAAGCACCGCTTTTTTTAATGTAGCACCTATTTAACGCAATTTTCTCAAAACTAAGTCTCAACTGGTTGATTTTTAGACTGCTGCAAGAGATAGAGACATTCTCTTGGTCCCAAATGAGATGCATATCATAATGGGAAAGGGTTTATTAAGACGGTTTGTCTTGTATATGTGTACAAGGAAGGAACAAAGAAACACAACCAACCTGGCCCCACGCGAAGAAGAAGACAAACAATTAGACGGCCGGGGCGATGAGCTATATGATATGACTAGTCATTTTGGTCTGTGATGTTGATAAAACATAAAACAATGCGTTGTGTTTGGCACTTGGCACCATTGAATTTGAATTGCAGTCCAAATCCACCCATTGGTCTTGGACCTGAAACAACGCGGTCCTACAATGGACTCCACCCAACAAATCAAGTTCAACAATCCAGTGAAATAACTAAACAATATATATATATATATTAAAAATAATAGAAGAAGCAACGAACAAGCCAGCACCAATCCACATGGGTCCTAAGTCCTAACTCTGCATGTTACACTGGTGTGGCATCATATCCCCCTGTCCTGGTAACCGCAGGGCATTTGGACTTTGAAGTCCCTTACTTTGATTAACTTCTTTACTTATGCCTTTGGTGGTTGAGAACCAGTGTAGAACGACAACTGGTAAGGATCCACGTGCTCTACTGTCTCCCAATTGGTCCAGTATTATTTTTAGACCTGGCAAAAATTCGATCCAACCCGTCAATCTGACCCGACCTGAAAAATGGATTAGGGTTTCCTATCTAGTCGCTCGAGCCCCTCAAATTAGAAGGCGGCCTCTTTTTAGGTTGGGTCACAGTTCACTGTTGGATTGCCTATTTCCAAATCAATGTTGATCTAGATGGTTAAATTCATATTGGTAAAAAATGCTGACTTGGTCAAAGATATATTGATCCAGTCTTTGAATCATTGACCTACTTGACCTGTGGGACCAGGGGTGGCAATTTACAACCCAATCCGCTGAACCCGCCCAATCCATCCATTTATTAGCGGATTGGGTTGTATTCGTTAATCATGGGTTTTAAGCGGGTGGGTCAACCCAATAAAATTATTTTTAATGGGTTGGGTGGGTTGGGTCATGGGCATCCAATGGGAATCTAATAAGTTACTTTCTTTTTTATTTGGAAAGACCTGTACTCCTGTTTTCCTGTGGGACCAGGGGTGGCAATTTACAACCCAATCCGCTGAACCCGCCCAATCCATCCATTTATTAGCGGATTGGGTTGTATTCGTTAATCATGNGTTGGGTGGGTTGGGTCATGGGCATCCAATGGGAATCTAATAAGTTACTTTCTTTTTTATTTGGAAAGACCTGTACTCCTGTTTTCCTGTTTTTTGGACAAAAATTCATTCTTCACTTCTATATATTTTGTTGAAATTAGGATTTTCACATATGGCCTTTTTAGTTGAGGTTTTCCTACTTAAATTTTAAAATCTTCTTTTATTTTCAAGAGGAATTATTCATAACTCTTAAATCGGGAGACAAGCTGGAGGGATTTGGACATTGAAGTGGAGGTGAAATTTCCTCTTCATTTTCTGGACTTTTTTGTAATTTATGTTATTTTTTGGGTTATTTTGTAATTTATGTCATTTTTCTGTGTATTTTTTTGGTTTTCTGTAATTTATGTTATTTTTCATGTATTTATTTGTAATTTATGTTATTTTTCTTCAATTTCTGGGTTTTATCATAATTTGCGTTATTTTTTCATGTATTTCTTTAGTTTTTTGTAATTTATATTATTTTTCATGTATTTATTTGTTTATTTGTAATTTATGTTATTTTTCTTCAATTTTTGGGTTTTCTCATAATTTATGTTATTTTTCCGTGTATTTCTTTGTTTTTTTTGAAATTTATGTTATTTTTTTTAATTTTCTGGATTGTTTTTGTGTCATTTTTATTATTTTATCTAAATGGGTTGGGTTCAGGTGGATTTGGGTTGAACCTAACCCATTTAATTATATCTAATTGGGTCATTAATGGGTTGGGTTGAAACTCAACCCAAACCTAACCCAATCCAACCCGCCCAATTGCCACCTCTACTCTACGTGGAACCAACCCTAAGATGAATATTTACGGTTAGGGTCTAGACTTTTGCTGACCAACTCAAAAGTTACGGTTGACCTACTCAAAACGATCAATAAATGTATTGACCCGATCCGACCCGATTGTTATCTAGTATTTTCCTTTTTTGCCCCCTCCTTTTGATTAGTAAAACGAACTAAAACCTCATACCAAAGGAAAATGCTAATTAAGATACAAAAGAAGATAACCAGTTCAATGGGTGGAACCATACCACCAAGCTTGCTGAGCAGATGGTTCAAACTTTTAGTAGACTATACATTAGCAGAAAAAATAAAAGGTTAGATTCTTAATTTTGTCCACAATATGAGAATATGACCATAGGATCAATGAATGGTGCATGTAAATGCCAAAATAGCATTTAGAGAATGAGATTGTATTAACAATAATTTCTAGCTCTCCTGCTCTAAAGCAAAAGATAAGGTAAGGGCAAAGCCTGTTCAAGCAGCAGCTTTTACAGAGTTGCATTGAGTGTATTCCCATATACAAAATTATAAAAGGCTGTTGGAACAGTGTGGGCACGGGATGGAAGCCCATCTTCTCCCACCTTAAAAGTGGCCCAAAGTTCTACATCACTACTTTCACAAAAAATAAGGTTCAGGGGTCCACCTGCAGCCTGCAGCCACTATGTATTTGCAATTATTAGTAACCAAGAAGAAGAAGAAGAAGAAAAAAAAAAATCCCTCTGTTATCAACACATGTCCCACCGTCGCATTTTATATTCATACATACACTGAATTCCAAGATTTATTTATTATAGATGAAGAGCAAAATAGTGAAATAATACAAATTCCTCCTGCAGCATTCCATTCACATATAGTTTAAAGCTTTATAGACGCAGAACAAGGTTTTACACGATTTTCTATCTGTGATCTGCTTTAATTAAAACCAACCCATTCAACAGCTTTTGTTTGTCTTTTTTACTATTGAAAAGTAATGAGGATAAGAATTTATTCGCTTCAACTTAAGAGAATATTTAATAAAATAAAAAATACAGAAGAACGATGATTTTCCTAGCTGCAACATTCCATGGACTAGCAAATAAAGCTAATGCAGAGAAATTACAAACAGAAAATATATGAAATAAAGGCTCCTCTCTACCTTCGCACATAGAACATTTTATATGTGGTGATGGTGATGCAGAGCTTCTAGCTATTTTGAAGGCGCTGGAATTTGTTCTTGAAGCTGAATGGAAATTATTTTATTTATTTTTTATTGCTAGTGGGATCTGATTCATTGGCTGCTATTCAATGGTTCTGTTGAAGTTTGTCTCATCATCTCCTTGGCTTTTGTTGGACAAGATTTCGAGCAGCTGGGGATTGATTTCATTGTGTGACTAACAACTAAGGCCTTTAGCTCTTATCAGTTGTGATTTCTATTTCGAAGAATGTACTATCTCAGTATCTTGTCTTGTGTAGCATTTCTTCTGTTTTTATTAGAAAAAGAAATAGGGTTTGTAAATTGTAAATAGATTGGAATAATCAAAATTAATCTAGAATCCTATTCGGCAATATTCAGTTTTAAAATAATTGCATAAAAAAAACCAAAATATTATATTATATTTATAAAATAATTTAAAAATAACTTCGATGAAATTTGAACTTATGAGGATAGTGAAAATATGATATTTTATTTGTTTCGCCCGACATTACGAAAAGATTCGTCCCGACTCCCGACTCCCGACTCCCGATTCTGCAGCTGGACTGCTGAGGCTGAGGCAAGTAGCATGAAAACGTGTGGGGTCGTGTTCACACATTCACGCACAGAGACACAGCACACATAACACAGCACACAGCACACAGCACACAGGGCGTTTAGTAATGTGCCTGCAGACGTGGCAGTGATAAGATTTTATGATATCATCTCAGCAATATTTACCAGTTACTCACACAAAATGAATGTCCTTTATTAATGATTATTTATCATTTTTAAGTCCATTTACCTGCGTCTACGACTCTACGTGGCGTGGTGGTGGTGGGATCCATTTCCAAATTCCAATTCCAAGTATGACTTCTAAATTTAGGCAAAAGTTTTAATTTCCAACTTTACCCTTATGTACCAAGTCAAACCTTTTCATGTCATGCACACGCACACGCAGATGCGAAAGCCACTCCCTCTTTTTTCTCACCCTTTTTTTTTTTTTTAAATTTTCAGTAATAAATAAATAAAAGTAGAAAAAAACTGTCGGTCAAAATACCAACTCCGTCCTCTTTTTTATCTTTTTTTGTTGCGTTTTAGAATTATATATTTTTATCTATTAATATTAAAATATAAAAAAAAAATTAAGAAGAAAATTCGGAAACCGCGTGATTTATAAGAGAGGCGCAAGCTGGTCAACAAATTTTTCTTTTTGTTATTTTGTTGCATTTTCGTTAGTCTGCTGCAACAGCAAGTCACCAACAGCAAACCTAAGACCATGAAGCGATAAAACGCAAAAGAAAAAGAAAAAGAAAAGAGAAAATAAAATGAAAAAGAAAACAAGGGAATTTTAATGCTACATCTTCTTCAAACGTGACAGCGAAACAGCCATGAAAGAGCCTTTCCGTCGATCGCCGCCTTTAAATCAAAGCTTCCATCCTTTTTCTTCATTTCAGCTGGTAAGAGATCTACCTCTCTCTCTCTCTCTCTCTCTAATTCCTCGTCGCTTCTTCTCTACATCGGGCTTTTGGTCCCCAGTAGAACCCTAGAATTGTCAATTCGTCTGCTAGTGATTGATTTTTCAAGGAGCTTGTTGAATTTTACTATTAAAGAAATTGACTCAAACAATCTTGGGAGTATCTTTTCGTGGTTATGCTCTGAAATTACGCTTCTTTATTTGTCTAATTCTCGCTTGGATTTCTTGATTTCCTGTTCGTTGGAGGTAATTGATCGTTAGAGTCCAAGATTGGTTCTTTTTATTTTCATTTTTTTACACTATCTTAAAAGATTTTCAGTTTATTTATTTTTAATCTGAGCTAGGTTCTCGTTTATCCGTTTTCTCAGTTTATTAATGAGTTTCCTTTGAATGAGGGGAAGGCTGTGAAGTCAGTCCGGTCTTTTATCTTTGTTTCATGGGCAACACATGCCGTGGATCTTTTGGTGGCAACCACTTCCAGGGCTACACCGAGCCCATAGATCGCTCCATCTCTAAGAGGAACACTTCTGAGCATTCCACTTACAGTTACTCGCCAAACAACGTGAACACCTACCAGCCCATCGCCGAGGGTTTCGCCAAAGATAATCACAAGAAAGACCAGAATCCAGCTCTGGCTAGTCCAACGGCAAAAGACATGAGGCGGGGATTAGACAACCAGACTTATTATGTCTTGGGTCATAAGACTGCTAACATCCGTGATCTTTACACCCTGGGCCGTAAGTTGGGTCAGGGACAATTCGGCACGACTTATTTGTGCACCGAGATTTCCACGGGTAAAGATTACGCTTGTAAATCTATCTCCAAGAGGAAGCTGATTTCTAAGGAAGACGTGGAAGATGTTAGGAGGGAAATTCAGATAATGCACCATCTATCAGGTCACACGAATATCGTTACAATTAAGGGAGCCTATGAAGATCCGTTGTATGTCCATATCGTGATGGAGTTGTGTGCTGGGGGTGAATTGTTTGATCGCATCATTCAACGAGGACACTACAGCGAGAGGAAGGCAGCTGAGTTGACAAAGATTATCGTTGGGGTTGTTGAAGCCTGCCATTCGCTCGGGGTTATGCATAGGGATTTGAAGCCAGAGAATTTCTTGTTGGTTAACAAAGACGATGATTTCTCTCTTAAAGCCATTGATTTTGGTCTCTCGGTCTTCTTTAAACCAGGTAAACATATCTTGTGAGAATGCATTTTTCCTTTTCTTTGTAGTCCCCAGAAGAAACCTAGGCGCGTCTTCAGAGGCTAACGGTTCTTCAGAATTTTGAATGAGTCCATCTGCAGGTTCAGGACCACCGCCCATCTGTTATTGCCATTCTTATAGTACCTTGGTTTCCAGTCTGACTCAGACTGTAAAACAAATGGGTATCAGATGTTGAGTGGATCACCCAGTTGCCATGCCTTCAGCTTCTTGAGGCCATGACCTATTGATTAGATGGTTGGGATTGGTACCAGATGGACTGCTAATAAGATCGAATAGCATTTTGTATTTAGAAGATTCATTCTTGTTCCTCCTATTTTAATATATACTACTGTTCTTTATGTCCACTTCTTTTCAGTTTCTTATGTACCTCAATTCAAAAGCCGGTTTCAGTTTGATCTTGAGTGGTTGGTTGATACCGTTTGTGCCTTCTACTTCAGGCCAAGTATTTACTGATGTCGTTGGAAGTCCATATTATGTGGCTCCGGAGGTACTTTGCAAGCATTATGGACCAGAGGCAGATGTATGGACTGCAGGAGTGATACTGTATATATTGCTCAGTGGTGTGCCACCTTTCTGGGCAGGTATTTTTGATAAATTATTATCAAGGCTTCACAAGTTGTTAGTTTTAGGTGCTTGATATACTGAGAACATAATCGGTTTGAATTTCAGAAACCCAGCAAGGAATTTTTGATGCGGTTCTGAAGGGAGTTATTGACTTTGAATCAGACCCCTGGCCTCTAATCTCAGACAGTGCCAAGGATCTTATTAGGAAGATGCTCTGTTCTCAGCCCTCTCAGCGCTTGACTGCTCATGAAGTACTATGTATGCAAGCTCCTTCTTTGTCTACACTTTTGCTTAATCTCTGATTTGGTTAGTCAAGACCGCCTACCCATTGCCCAAATTGGAAAAAAAAACAACTGTGATTTTTTCTTATTGACCTAACTGGCTAACCACTCTTTCAATAACTGTAGTACCTCAGATGGTTCACTAGGCCTGTTTACAGTGGTTTTGGTAATTTCCAGAAGAAAACCTGATTGAATTGATATGATCAGGTAAATTTTCACAGCAACCAAATCTAATAATTAGGGGTGTAAGCAGAGTGACTTTGAAGTCATTCTAAGATAAAGACAAAAATCAATGAGCAAAAATATAAATTATAGAATGGGAAGCACACCCATAATTAATATATATTTTTTTTCACTATACATGTAGATTAAAAATTCGAAAGAAGACATTTTGATTTTTGAGTTGAAAGAACCTTTGAAGATTGGGTCTGCAACATTTAAAGAACTATTACTTGCTAAAAGTGTGAAAGGTGTCTGAGCTATTTGTGTAAATGAATGTCTCTCACGATTGGGTCTTCAATTAGTATGGTCTCTCATTTGTTTTAATCTAAACCTGAAAATGTCATCTGATAAAAAAAAAATCTGAAAATGTCATGGCGACAATATGACCTGCACCTGTGTAACTTGCACTGTTCTATGAACTTCATGGTGGTAGACTGCTGGTGTGGTATGTGATGTTGGTGCAGCAAACCCAGCAATGTGAATCTATGGAACTCCAAACCATAAAGATACATTGTTCAAACAGACAGGGTGGGGGGGTTAGAGGAAGAATACATTGGTGATGGGTTGAGAAAACAACAAAGGAGGGAGAAAATGAAAGAGTTGGGTTCGACTGACATTTAGGGTTAGGGTTGATTGGCATTCCTTTAACAAATAAAATATTACCTTTAATTACTGCTACTTGACGATAGTAAATAAAGTTGATTGACATCAAGCATAAATAGATATGATCAGTTTGGATATTTATTGAATTGAATTTAGATCCTGATTCAATTCAATAAATTATAGGGCAAATTTCTTAAACTACCCCTAAGGTTTAGGAAATTGACTAACTATTCCCCTACTGTTTCAGTATTATCTTAAAGTACCCCTACTGTTTCTAACAATTGAGTAAATCTTCCTTACCGTTAGTGTCCGTTAACGGAAAGATTAAAAAGACTATTTTGCCCATCACTCAGAAAACTCAACTCCTGGTTCAACAGAAGACATCGTCAATGATCTTCAAGCTCTTTGGTCCTGATAAATGCTGATGATCGACTGGCCTCAGGGGTTGTGGTTAGAGACGTTGAACAGATTGAGGTGTAGGGGGCTGAGCAATAACAGTGGTGCTCAAGAATGGAGAGTGGGTCTTGGGAGCAACTGGGCGTTTGAAGGACTTGGGTAGGATAAACGAAGGGGGGTCCGTTGTTTGTGGCAGTGATGAAACAGGGGAGAGAGAACG